CGACCACGATGTATTGAGTCCCATTTGTGTGATATGATGGCTACAGATTTTGTCAGAAACCGTTATATATAGGGAAACCAAAGTTACCAACTTTGGACATTCAGGAAATGAATGCCTTGATGGAGTTCGAAAACGGAAACCGTGTTAGACTTTGTTACAGAGTTATTGCCCCTGTCATGCGTTTCTTGACTTTGTGCACGGTATCCCCAATGGTGAATGATTTTCTCAGAAGCCGTTATATACTGAGTCAAAAAAGAAACATCACAAAATGTAATTTGAAAAATAATGAACAATTTTTCTCTGATGATACATCTATGTTTCCGAAATGGGATCCCTATCTTTCGACTCTAGAAAAACGTTAGCAAAACACACTCAAACCCATCCATTCGTCGTGCAAATGACGTTAGTGTCAAATCAGGTTTTGCATGTGCAGTCGATCACGTGATCTTCGCATCGAAGTTTTCTTCATATGCACGTGTTTGCACTGGCCTCAAGAATTAAAAAAACACACTTTTAAACCACAGTTCTAACGGTACTTGAAATGCCACGATTGTCAAATGTGCAACGTGAACGTGCCGTTGGCATGTTGCAAGCGGGAAGATCAGTTATTGACGTCGCAAGAGCAATGGGATGCAGCCGTCGTAGTGTGTATGACTTTCGAGGTCGTTTACAACAAACTGGCACCACTTCTGATCGCCCAAGGTCGGGTCGTCCACGTGTGACGTCACGAGCAGAAGACCGTCAAGTCGTCCTACGTCACCTACGTGACAGATTTCTGCCGGCTACACGAACCAGGGCTGAGATGTTTAGAGGTCGATTGTCCTCACAGACCATTCGAAATCGGTTGCGGGCTGCCAATCTCCATTCTCGACGTCCATATCGTGGGCCAATATTGACGCCGTTTCATCAACGTCAGCGTCTGCTGTGGGCCCAACGTCACCTCCGATGGACCCAGAGAGACTGGAATCGAGTCGTCTTTAGCGATGAATCCAGGTTTACCCTCAGATTCGCATGGAGTCTGGAGACGACGTCGTGAACGGTATGCCCAATGTTGTGTACAGGAAGTCGACAGATTCGGGGGCGGAAGTTGCGTGGTGTGGGGTGCTTTCTGTGGGAATAACCGTTCCCGACTTCTGGTCATCCGTGGAAACCTCACAGCTGCTGCTTACCGCGACCAGGTGCTCACCCCTGAACTCGTTCCTTTCATGGCGGCTCATGGCCCAGGTCTACAGTTCCAGCATGATAATGCTCGGCCGCATACCGCAATGTTGACACGACATTTCCTTCAAAACGCTGGAATCAACGTCATGGACTGGCCATCGAGGTCCCCTGACCTTAATCCAATAGAGCACGTTTGGGATGCACTTGTGAGAAGGTTTCGTGGTCTTAGGAACCAACCTCAGAATTTACAGGAACTTGGCGCTGCCTTGCAAGAGCAATGGCGCAGAATCCCCAACCACGTGTTCACAAGCATCAGGCAGTCGATGAGGAGACGGTGTTTGGCAGTGGTGAATGCGCGGGGCGGCCATACACGATATTGAACTGAGAAATTTCGCATTTTTATTCTTGTGACTTGACATTGTGTATACCCATGTTTTGGTACGGCGGTGTAGCCTAATGGAACTGATTATGGCACTGTCAGTGTATCGAGTATACACACAGATCTCAGCAATGAAATGATAACAATTTAACCATCTTACCATCTCTTGTTCCGTTATAGTGCCCTGAAGAAAGAATGTGAAGTTTCTTTTTTGACTCAGTATACATTTGGCTAATTCATCAAGAGCAGTCGATAATGATTCGTACGTGATCGGCAGTAAGTGATATTTTTAAGGCAGATCAAACACAACCAGTAATGTTTTCCCCGACATATTCAGAACTTAAATTAGGTATGGATTAGAGCTTTCAAGAAACACTGGTTATCTATACAATTTGAAGTTCAGCAGTCATATCGTCTTGAAGGTCTTCGTAAAACATCATATATCTCAGCATTCACTGACGCCATATCATGGTATTTCACATCGCCACAAGTTTGTGGCCTAGTTCGATTGTAGTGCCAATGTATTTCACTGCTGCTTTTTCGACAGGTGGATAAATCATCAATGGTTATGGATAAACGCTTTGCAATACATTGAGCTAAGTCACACGGCATTCCGTTTAAAAGTGTTAAAAGGCACGCATTATGTATTTCAAAAATTAATATGTGACATAAGCAAACAGATCAAATTACGAATAGGGCTGCGTATTGGCAAATGGATTGTATTGCAATATATTGCGATTCAGCTACAGTATTGCGATACGTATTGCGATATACTGGGTGTTTGACAGTAAGTGACACTAAGTGTGCGTGTCGATCCTATTGTCTTCATTATAAGCCCCTAAGCATACATGTTATTGGTCTAGTAACAATAATCTCAAACTTAGCTCATGGATTCTATTTTCCTTTTTATACAATTTATAGTATTACAGTATGGCGTTTTGTCGTTGAATAATTAAGGAAACATTTGTTGTGAATATAAGTGTGTAGATTGTAATTTAAACCATAACCACAGAAACTTCATACATGTTCCTTACCCGAAATACCAGATCTCAGAAACAAATATTGCAATACGTATCGTTTGAAAAGAGTATTGCGATATACCGGTATACCGGTAACACCGTGCAGTCCTAATAACGAAGTTACAACGAAAGTTATGGCGACAGCACTTTCTCCTTTGAAGTGATGACCCGTGAAGATCCGGGTTAGAATATTGATCTTCAGTAACCCAGGCTTGTCGTAAGAGGCGACTAACGGGATCGGGTGGTCAGGCTCGCTTATTTGGTTGACACATGTCTTTGGTTCCCAATTGCGTAGATCGATGCTCATGCTGTTGATGACTGGATTGTCTGGTCTTGACTCGATTATTTACAGACCGCCGCCAGATAGCAGGAATATTGACAGAGTGCGGCGTAAAACTAAACTCACTCATTTGAAGTGATATTGAAGCCAGCATCTGTTTCCGAATCACACAATCCAAGCAAGACGTGCTCAACAATTTTCAACTAGGCTGAAAAATAGAGAATTCCATCTCAAAGCGTTTTGTGCGTAACTAGTTTTGACATTTTCCATACTTGAAGGGTCAGTTACTATTTTCAACATGAATAAAATAGGTGATTTATGGATTTAAGTTTAAAAGGGAATTACCAAGAACATGGTTACAAACGGACCTACAGCTATTGGTTTTGCTGTATAAGTTTCATGGGGCTGCATATCGCTACTCGCGGCTATATTATACCATATAATCACTGTGAGATTGAGATCGATCGACTGATAGTTGGCAAGCGAGAACTTAAGGGGATAACCTGAAACTGCATGCCAGTTTCATACTGGCCGTGAAAGTCACCCACGCATACACCAAAGCCTACAGTACGTAGAACGCTGTATCCATTACATTATAGACCTTTTCTTGGTGAAGTTCATGAGCGGACAGTTTTCATGTTACAATACAGCATGTCAGCTAAAGTGAGTGAATTCCAAAGTAATGCGCAACTACGACGTTTTAAGCCTTATAATGCAGAAGTAGAGACTTAGAAGGGGCGAACTGGGAGTCGAGCGTCGACCGTGCTTTGGAAAACTGTAGTCTCTTAAATGAGGAACCTCTATTCACAATCAGCCAGCTCCAGTGAGATAAAGTCGTTCCTTTATCAGATGACCCCAAGAGTGTACGCGAAGAATCAAAGTGACAGGCAGTTTCCTGAAATCGGGTCAATACATCCTGAATGTGCGTGAATCGTTCGTTATCTGCTTCCTTAATCCAAGCGTTGGTGTTTCCTTATCCGTTTGTTGTTGTTTGAGTTCAAATCGAAACATATACAGGGTTATAGAGCGTGACATGACAAACATATTCATTATACTTCATGAGGTCAATCGGTGGAGAATTTGTTTTGTCTGATCAGAAAAGACAAATGTTCTATACATTATTTGCCCGTACTTATGTTCGTGATCTGTCACTGAAAACTGTTAAAAATATCCACTGAGAGGGTATTTCGGGATGCTTTCCTATTGACTTATGAATACGGAGTTTATATTTTCAGAACATTACATCATAAAATAATTTATAATGCTCTTTCTACTACTCGTTTCCCGTTGTCAAATATCTAAATATATACACTTGCATCTTATGTGTGCTTTCAAAAGTGGTCACACAAACATGTCATCCATAATTCAATGGACCGGACCATGGAGAAATGCTTAAATATATTGCTACATTTACATTATTAGGTGGTACTTTTTACATGAACCGGGATTAACACGTTCTTCCATGTCCACGTTCTTGTTATTTTCATATATCCTTTTACGTACGATGTACGCTGTATTCCGTGTTTCAATAGTTTGTATACTATATTTATTAGTGAAACGTAAAAATCTATGTAAGATGTACACACGTACACGTAAATGTATATAATTATTATGTATACATATATACACGTATGAACGTACATATAAAGACAGTTGTGAAGACCCGGTTTAGAGTCGATCGTCAGTAACCCGTGCTTGTCGTAAGACTAGAGGCGATTAAGGGGATCAGATGGTCAGGCTTGCGGACACATGTCATCATATCCCAATTGCATAGATCGATCTCATTCTGTTGATCACTGGATTGGTTGGAACAGACTCGATTATTTATAGACCGCCGTCATATTTAACTAAACTCACTCACTCATTTCTGAAAATGAAGTTGAAACACGTTGGAGGGACGGACATTCGCGTTGTTATTGTTATTATTCGTGTTATTTTGTTGGTTTCTCTCTATATGTCCCCCTGTACACTTCGCCTCGGTGTGATGCACATCTGCTTTCATATATTCCACACTCTACAAATTGTCTCACATTAATGCAGAACAACGTTCAACGTAAGCACAGCTCACCCTCGTCCCGAACAACCATAAGCAGGGTCCCACATTGTACGATACAAAAATAACAGCGACCGGGCTTGTGACAGGTTGAAGTGTAATATACCGCGTAAGGTCAAGAGGTTTATGGCGGTTTCCTATGGTCACCCGATGGTCCCTAATGCCTTTCTGTAGGGGTTGCTGTCTGTAATGTGTGTAGGGGTCAACACAGATATGATCCCGGAACTTGGCCGTGGTCGTATCACTGTTCATTCAGAGCTATATATGTAATCACGTGAAGATCGGAACAACAACAAGCTTCCTGGTGTACAGACTTTTCGTTATGGAGGGCGTCAGACTGGCTGTCCTGCTGTCTTTCTGTCTGCTGGACATTACATCTGGTAGGTGACCATATTATAACTAATTAAGAGGGTGGTTTGTACAAAATGTTTAGTGATAAGGAAGTATAACAATAATGGATGAACAACTTCTTAACTGCAGTGAGAGCGACATTTCGGTGTCGGTTTAACAACGTTATTAAGCAAGGCACAGAAGGTGTGTAGTAATAGCAAAGGATTTGAATTCTTCTGTCATGGGGTCAGTCATGCATATAAATAATACATTTACTCCGGTATAAAATTTGCCAAATGAGCCTGGTTTTGTGAGGAAGTTTGACGTGAACTATCTGAAAAAGTTGAAATTTAAAAACACAATCATTTTTTATGAATAACAAAGTTAAATATTTTGAAGCAACACTGTCGAAGCCGACTGTGCAGTGTATAAATGGAGTGATGTGTACGCTGTGTATATAATATGATAAGACCTATATGGTGGTCCATCAATACATCAATCGGTGCTGTCATAGCCTTCGGTGTATATACGAGGGGCTATCAATAGGTTTGAGCCCAAAATACTTCTGATATGGTTTAAACATATTTTTATTCCTAGAGAATCTGGTTTGGTAAACTAGCAGAACTCTGCTTATATCAATACCTCACCAGTACATATATCATTTAAACAAAATACACAAGAACTGGATACAAAAAACGACAAATTAAATCATATATGTGCGTTGTAGGTGCTTATAAACATTGAGCTTGCAGCTACACTTCATTAATTGATTGCATATAATTGTTAGTATAATTTGTTAAATCGTTTAGACTTATAGATGTATTGATGCAGGGACTCTGTTATGTTCTTATTGACGTTGTTGTTTGTCGGAGGTATTCCGTATAACACAGTTTGGAGATTGTGGCCATTTACATAGAAGTAGGTATTATTTCTAATAGCAGTGTATACCTTACATGTAAAAAGATATTATAATGAACAGTATCATCATTGTGGTATCCACAAGCGCATCCAGGGTTGTTAGAAATGTGTCTATTTACTGATAGTTCTGATATGTACATGATAAGAATAACTCTATGATATTGAAGAATGGTTTATATCAGTACAATCACTACTCGTACTGCTGTCAATCGCTCTTCAATGTGTTTCGCGGGTGGCCCTCGAGGTCCAAATCCTTTATGACTGCTCTGTACTTAAGCTTTTCCATTTCTGCCGTTTCAGTAAGGGTACATGTGATTAGATGTTTTTATCATGCATATATCAGACGTATTTAGGCTCAAAACTGTTTGATAGCCCCTCCAATGTACACCGAAGGCTATGACAGAACAGATTCTGCCGTTTCAATAGGGGTACATGTGATTAGTTGTCATGTGACCTGAAACTGGCGTCATGTGCATGTCACTATTACGTTTATATGTGAATGATATAGACCACTCTTCAATATCATGCACACATTTTTATCATGCACATATCAGAAGTATTTTAGGCTCAAACCTTTTGATAGCCCATCGTATGCTTCAATAGCTGGTATTGTTTATACGTGTTGTAAACATATGATGTATATACGATGTGACATCAGTCAGTGTGACCGCCTCCATTATCTAGAGGAAATCAGCGGAAGGTCAGTGACTCGATCACATGTTGCTTCCTGCCCAATGAGATTGTAGTTGTTGTTTCCTTGCTTGGTGCAAGGCATTATGGGACAAAGGAAGGACTGGTCGTCTCATTTGGAGTAGTCATGTTTCCGTGCGGTCTGTTATCTCAGACGGTTGACAGTATATAATAGGCATTAGGCCGTAGGAGTATAAAAACTATAACACACACGAGCGCACACATGTCTGTCCGTGCGTATGCGTATGCGTGTGCGTGTGCGTGTGCGTGTATCACTCTTCAGCTGTACATACTTGAAGAATTTTTCAACATATACTAGTATAAACAAGCAACTGCGATTGTTAGTGGCTGTATCCTCGTAGTGGGTTAAAGTATCGTATAATCATTGTCCTCCTGAGAGGATACATAAGTACCAAAACTTTCAAGTTAAATTTAAACTTACCAGATTTTTAAACGTAGTAGTTTTGTTATTTTAAACTTCGGCCAAACTTTTCCTACAATCGCCAGCGGCTGAAGGGATGGTGTAAATCCAACTAGGGTCAATGCAGGTAGCAAAGGTACTGTAAGTCCCCATGGTCTCTAGTATGGTGATCTACCTTCGGTTGTTGGCGACCTATAGCCTGTTTTTATATGGTATTGTCTTCGTAAATAAAATAGTTTAAGATTTCCATGCTACTTTCAGACACCATCCGTGATATTCTAGTTATTTTACAGCCCTTCGATGACATATTATTTAACAACTTATATTAAGTGTGCATGCAAAACCTTTCTCATCACTATATGGCTGAAAAATTCCCGAAGTGACGTAAAATTTTAACTCACTCACTCACTCATTCACCTCCTTCAATCACTCACTAATTCACTCACCCACCCACCCACCCACTCCACCCACTCACTCACTCACTCATCTCCTTCACTCACTCACCCACCCATCCATCCACCCACTCACTCACTCGCTCATTTGAGTCCATGGTTGTTTTCCAGTAATCTTTCATCCATCGTAGAAGTGGCAAAGAATTAATTTTGAATATGGAGAGTATTTTGTACTGTAATAATGCATCATGGTGAGCGATTTATACTTGACATTGGTAATATTTCAGCCATATCGTGACGAAAGAAAATATTTAAACGTCATCCTGTATTCGAAGGACAGTAACACAACTAGATTATCACATGTTAATTTAAAACTAGTTAGAGAGCATATATAAAATATTAAACGATGAATTACCAGTACAAAACAATAAGGGGCTAAGGATCGCTGAACACCAAAGGCCACTGCGTTCAATACTTCATCTTCCTGCATGGTTCCGTAAGGCATCCTAAACGTTAAACGTATTTCCTCTATGTATCATCAATAGCCTGCTATCATTATTATCACACCATAGTTTAAGTACGGGCTGGTGGAAAGGGCGACCCGTTCGACGAAGTTTCCGTCTCATTCGTCAACAAGGTTATGTTTGCGGGTTAGGATACCAGTTCGCATTGATCATGTTTCTCGGTGTGTCAGCATTCAACACCACACTGAAGCAAGCAGAACAGAACAGAACAGAATTTTATTCTCGTAAATCATACAGAATGATATAGAGAACATACAATCGTTTAAAATAAAATAACATATGAGTAGATATATTGATTTAGAAATGACTAAGAACAGTTTTAGCAAAAAGTGATAGTTTCAATAGGAGTGGGGTATAATCTGATTTCAAATAAGTGAGACTCGGCTGCAGTGACCTCAATGCTCACAAATATGAAAGATACATTTTAGAAAGTCCGATATGCTCATGTGGACTAGCAAATGAGGATAGTTTTTTAACTCGAAATTTTCTTTTTACTTGTCCAATTTTTTACTGTAACTCGAAATAACATGTACTTTTACCATAAAAGGATATACATTAGACTCAGTATTATTCGGAAATGTCCATGCAACTGCATCTGTAAATATGCAGATTCTTGAATCTGTTCATTTATATATCGTAAATCAGGCAGATTTGACGCCCTTTTCTTAAGATAATGATTGATTACTCTCAACCTATGATGTCGAAATACCTCTCTTCTTTTGGACTATGTACAGCGTATACATGACTAACAGCCAAACTATGTAATTATTATTTGTTTTTGTAAGGGAGAGGTGTTCATATAAGCTTACAGCTTGTTCAGCGATCATAAGTGAAATGGTGATGTAAATGTGAGTATCATGTTTCATGTATCATGGGTGAATGTTATATGCTGTGGTACAATAAATCTTAGAACAGGCTGTACTTCATCCCGTGTTAATCCACCCATTGTAAGCTATTTAACCACGAGTGACTGCTTCATACCTTGAAACAAAGGCAGGGGACACAGTGAGGACAGTCTGGCGTCATTTTAAATACAGTTCAAATAATGTGTGAAGTTTAAGAGAGTATTTAACATATTTACACACATCCCAATTAGATGTCATTATACATTGTTGTGCTTACCCCGGCTATCGATGTTGAATGTTCTAAACTATTTATGTTGTCTTAACTTTCATTTTATATATAGTGTTACATTCTACAGTGTGTATAGTATGCTGTGAAAGTACTGTATATGTTGTAACGGCGTACGTTGTGTCTGTAGTGTGAGGGCGTGTGTATCTTTTGACAGATGTGTGTACATGTTGTGTCAGTCTACAGCGTATGGTAGTTTTAAAATCCTTGTGGACAATGTATGTGTGAAGGTCGCCTACTGTATATAGATGTTGTGACTGAATATGGTGAATATGTGTTCTAATAGTCTACAATGTAAAAATATAGAGGATTCATTCCGAATGTTGAATAAGGAAATATTAACTGATAGTCAGTAGATCGGTATTCGGCGAGCCTGTTATCATTCTTTTATTACTGTTTCCCTTTAAAGAGTGAGTGAGTGAGCGAGCGAATGGATATAGTTTTACGCTGCGTTTAGCAATATTCCAGAAATATCACGGCAGGGACACTAGAAACGGACTTCACACAGTGTACCCATAAGAGGAATCGAACCTGGTCTTCTGCGTGACGAGCAAACGCTTTAACCACTGGGCTACCCCACCACCCCTCCCTTTCAAGAATAAATGTATTAAAATTATTTCAGAAATCCTACGTATATATCATCAATTGCCGTGTCACCTAAAATAAAAAAAACCCTCCTTTTTGGCACATTCGTTATTGAGAAAAGACATTATTGAAAAAATGTTTAACAGACTTTTGCAGATTAGCGGTTATGTCAATAATGCTAACAAGAACGAGTTTGTCTCATTTTCATGATATGTGCGGTGTAACTTCACTGATATTTAGCTTTCGATTCAAACAGCGCTCTCACTTGAAAAAGTCCCACTTCCGGTTATCTTATTTACATATCATTGCTGTATGATACATTTATATATGTTTTTATGTCAAACCTCTATCACGGCTAAGAGCTTCAGTTATATGATAAAAGATACGTTTTAGCAGTGTACGAATATTCTGTCGTTCCAGTGTGCATATGTTTGTATGACTGTGGTGTTTATATGCTTGCGGAGTCTTCAGTGTGCATATATCGTGACAGTTTGCTATATACTGTTTTACTGTGACAACAGTTTCGGTGTAGATTCTAACACCGTTATCAAGCAAATGATACACAACATTATTCACAAGGAGAATATATACATGAAGGATATTTGAGTTGATACAATTGAAAAAGATCTACACCGAAACATCGCATGTATTGCAACAAAGAAGTTGTCTATCCATAACAAGTGTTCCTCTTCATCATGCCAGCTTTTAAATGCAACTTAAAGAAATGATGAATAAGGTCGGTGTTTTTTTAAAATGTTTATTGCTATACCCAAGCTCCTCGTGGGGTTGAAGGCCAATGCGAATTATCAAGCGAATTAATTCGCGTGAACTCAACCAATCGCTCAGTTTTTTTCGTTCATTCCTTTGTTCAGGCACGTTTTATGCACAAAATACTTAGAATTAATCTATTCTTACAAACATGCACGAGGCGTAAATCGGTCATTATTTGTGCAACTGAATTTAGATCAAGTTGACTTCAAGTCCCAGTGGCGGTACATTTCACTTCAGGGTCAGGAAACACATCCCCATCGTATGTGTGTGTGTGTGCGTGTGTGTGTGCGCGCGTGTGTGTGTGTACATCAAGGCACAAAGTAAACACCAACTGTGCTCCCCTCCTTACTAAATATACTACCCATCAAAGTTTAGACTCACTTAAAGCACTCACTATATGTTATGCATATATGTGTGGTTACATCGAAGATGAATGTTTCCAATAACTTTGGAGAACCAACTGCAAACTTTATGCAGATGAATTGCACGAGGATCATGCATTAAATTGCTAAAAAGCATGTGCAAATATCGTGCATGTGAACAGCTGTGTTGTGGTGTAAAATTTTGTTAAAAATTCGCCAATTTTCACTCAGTTTCATCGTATTTTTAACCCATGACAATAATCTTTTCAACGTTACGAATTTGTTTTACAATACATCAGTTCATGTGTAAACAGTACCTTTAAACAGTATGGAAAATTTTGCAAAATCTAGTTTAGAACAGTTGACTTAAGTAAGTGGCTACATTTACACTAGTGAGTCTAAACTTTTGATGGGGAGTATAGTATGCTGATGCAAGTGAATTGTCATTCCTATTCGTATTGGCTTAATCAAAACTAGTGAATTTCGCAAAGACGTTTAACTTAAGTGTCAGGTATATCAATGATCTGTACTCGTATAGTCATGGCCAACTAGCCAGTTTCTGTCAGATGGGTTATGTGAAACCAGTTAAACCACCTCATCTTTTCATCTTTAGATTTACGCTTATTCAAATTGACAGGACATATAAACTAGACTGTATGACAAGAAGGATATTCAGCTACCCAATAAGAACCTTTCCATGGTGAGAAGCATTCCATACGCCGAAGTAGCGTGTGGCTACATTTCACAGCTTGTGAACGAACTGTTTTTACTGAGGTTTCAAACTGCGTCAGGGTTACAAGTTAGATCAGGGTTACAACATCGTAGTCATGGCCTCAGAAAAGTTTGAGGTATATGGGGGAACTTCACTTTTGACTATTTTGTAGCTTATGTTGACTTGCCAATGGTGTGATGTGAAAGGATACGCTGACGGTTTGTGAATACCATGTTGGCATCGCTATTTGATGGTGATTCATAAACCGACCATATACGACAATGTTCTGGTGGTACATACAACTACTAGTGTCACTGTCTATCATTGAGGTAATACGTTTTTCTTAGTTATGAACAAGTACCCTGGTACATGTAGCTGAAAATACCGATATCTCGTTTTGACATGTAATGTTTTCAGGAATTTGTCTTCAAGGAACATTCGACCACCAGTGTTTCTGACAAAGTTTCTGCCATATCCATTTCCGTTGATTTCTTGATATAATTGTCTTCTAACATATCATATTTCTGTTACAGCCCGCTGCCCGGCAGGGAAATACGGCAACAATTGTGCTTACACATGTAACTGTCATCACACAGTGTGTTATTCTACAGTTGGATGCCTACCGCAGACCTGCAACCCTGGATGGTCGGGAAGAACATGCCAGAAGAGTAAGGACGGTATATTTGTCCCGTCCAATGGGTATACTGACATGGCTGTGACTGTACATCAACAACATGAAGACCCGACATATGCTTCAGTTCATCTACCTAACATCAAAATGGAAATATATGTTAAATCACAGATCTGTGCAGTTTAGAATGTTAAATCACGTTTAATATTTCTAAGAAATGTAATAAGGAAACATATCGACGTACGTGAAAAACAGGATGGTGTTCGTTTGGTCGGTCGATCGAATATGGCTTTTCTTGGGACGGACTGGTTTGGTGATTAGAAATACATTACATTTATCTGCAATTCAGCTAACTAGGCGAGATCACTTTAAACAAACTGCTTATGTTGGCATAATATTAGTATCACTGAAAATTGTCTGTTTGTTGTTAAATCACACACAGCAATATTCTAACTATATGGCGGCGGTCTGTAGATAATCGAGTCTGGACCAGACAATCCAGTGATCAACGGCATGTCGTTAGTCGCCTCTTACGACAAGCATGGGTTGGTGAAGACCATTTCTAACCCGGATCTTCACGGGTTTACTGAAAATTGTCTGTGTTTTCCTGTTTTCGGTTGTTATTGAAAGTATACAAACTCGATTATGCATGCATCAAGGAAGCTAATAGCCAATATCTACGTTTAAAATAGATGAAAGATGACCTTCAGCGTGTTGGTTGACTTTCCTAAGTGTTGATGATGCGATCTGATGTGTTTCGGATCTCAGTAGATACCAAAACGAGCATCTACAGAGTAGGTCCTTCATTTTCAGAAAATGCAGGATCAAATTACAATGACAATGATCTGATGTGCTTCAGATCTCAGTGGATACCAACACGAGCATCTACAGAGTAGGTCCTTCATATTTAGACAATGGACGATCAAAATACAAATGCTGTTGTCACTCGTGAACTAATTCAGGTGTATCTTTTGACAGATAATGTTGCACTTGGCAAACCAGCTTCAGCTAGTAGCATCTACTTCCAACCAACCAATGCGGTGAACGGGGTGAAAACCGGATATAGCCAATCTACATGTATGCATACACATTTCAACGATGCTGCCATTAGGGCCGCCTGGTGGAGAGTGGATCTTGGACAGACAACGTCAATACATTACGTCAGCATATACTTCAGGAAAGATTGTGAGTACAACACACTGTGGTCTATATTTTCATTTCTAGTAAACACCTGTCATAATCGCTGATATTATTGAGAATGGTATGATACCGCGTTAATGTTGGCCGTTAGTTTATTATATAAACTGCACAATGCACTCTCTCTTCATTCACTCACTCACATTAATAACAAAAGAGCTCTAATGTGTCTGTCTGACATGTTATTAACAACCTATATAAGGTTTTAACTCAGTACATTTGATATTGCAGTTAACGTGGATTATGAACAATGGCAGATGCACTTTGAACAACTATGTCTGGCTATCTAAACACTTTTTGATAAATACTAGGAATATTTGTGAAGGGTTTGACAATGTGGATGAACATGACTCTTGTCGCTTCCTCAGTGTTTGTCAGATACACATCTGGCTCAGTGACAAATCCTATTGTGTAGCCCTTGCATTTGCAATAGCTGATGGAGCGGTAGGACAGTCTCGTGGTGAAAGCGTTTGCTCGTCATGTCGAAGACACGGGTTCGATTCCCTCATGGATACAATGTGTGAAGCTCATTTCATGTGTTCCCCGCCGTGGTATTGCTGGAATATTGCTAAAAGTGGCGTAAAACCAAACCCACTCAGGTATACTACAATAGCTGGTGGTGTGTTTTGGAAATATTTATAACTTGATCAAGTCACAATATGGCTGACTTATATTAAAGAAACTCATTCACTCTTCATTTGAAACATAATCATGTTGGCCAACCCACCATTTGATTTAATACCCGTCGAGCACATTACATTTGGCGACGGATGACAACACCGCTTCAGGCAGAAGAGGAGAATCATTTTAGACAAAATAATGAAAATTGGTTACGTTTCAAATAAGGTAGAGTGAGTGAATCTGAAAGTTAAGATTTGGAGTCACATCGGCAATATTTTAGCCATATTGTCACTATAACAAAATATACTTTAATAAATATATAGTTATTTCGTAAAATCTGTCAACAAAGGAGAGTAATACAACTAGGTTATCACAGATAGAAATTTAAAACTAGCTTGTAAGCATTAAAACATTTATTACAATACAAGGCAAAACAATATAAAAAAAACAACTGACTGACTGACTGAGGTTGGTTTTACGCCGCTTTTAGCAATATTCCAGCTACGTCACGGCAGGGGAACACCAGAAACGGGCTTCACACATTGTACCAATGTGGGGATTCGAACCCGGGTCTTCGGGTTGACGAGCCAACGCTTTAACCACTAGGCTACCCACCGCCCCATAAAAAAAAACACAACCCCCCACCAAAACAAAACCGGCTATAAGTCACCAACAACTAGGAACCATGGGGATAAGGTAGATTGAACGTTATATATTCCAGGAATAATACAGTTAAACATAACCTTGTTGACATTTCTATTTTATTGTAAATTGATTTGCACATAATAGTGAGTGAGTGAGCTAATATTTATCGTCACATCGGCAATATTTTAGCCATATGGTGACGAGAACAATTAATTATTGTATTACAGAACAATCAAATTAGAAATGAAAAGCCTGTTTCCGAAGAACAGTAAAACTACCAGAGTATCACAGATATCAAAGTAAAACTAGCATGTTATCATAAAAAGATATTTAAAGAGAACAATACAATATATATACAGGCTATGGATTACCAACAACTGAAGGTAGATCACCATACTAGGGACCATGGTTGCACATATTGCAGATAAGGTCCGGCGGAACGGTATCAAGATCTACATAGCTGGCACTGCCGCCTCTCCAACTGATGGAGTCAACTGCTATACCGTGACAGGGAACAGAGATGGAACAAACATACCTGATGTTTTGACTGCCACGTGTTCTGGTAGAGGGCGCTATCTAGTTCTGTACACCACCACTGTAAACAAAGAAATCTACAACATCATCGTACCTGTCCTGGATTTCTGTGAAGTGGAGATTAATGGTAGGACTGAAATGTTAAATTTTAATTTAAAGTCATTAGATTCTTCATGTAAACGGGCAGGTAAACAAAAAATTGAAACGAAACTGCCAAAAGCTTTCTCTGCATCATTGTTGTCAAATATGTTCGTTTGACGGTTTTGTTAAACACCCGGACACACACACACACACACACACACACACACACACACAGAGACAGAGAGAGAGAGAGAGAGAGAGAGACAGACAGACAGACAGACAGACACACACACACACACACACACACACACACACACCATATGGTTGCGGCAATGCGTGTATGCTTGAATACCTTTTACAATAGGCACTCGTGCCTTCAATAAGCTAATCACGCCATGCCTTTAACAGTATGTGGCCCTGGTACTTTCGGTGCTGACTGTGACAACTACTGCCACTGCGACGGCGATGTGTGTGACTACGTCAGCGGCGTCTGTCCAAGTGGAGTCTGTCTGCCAGGCTTTCAAACAGAAAGGTGTGACACAGGTGGGTAGTTTTGTTTATGTTACATATGTTATAGATGTCATGGGGCATGGTGAGCGAGCTGGCTAAGGCGCCAGACTAGTGATCCAGCGAGCTTGAGGTGTCCGGATCGAGCCCACCTGTGACTGGGTGTAAAAACCTTGGAGTCAGACTCTTTCATTCTTGTCGCAACCCCTAGTGTACAGTACACAAACCTATGCACTTAAAAGAACCCACGAATCCGTTGGTATATGACCAGATGGTGGTCACGTGAATACGTGCAAACACCCAGTTGCAGGTACAGCAACGTGCAGTGAACATGGACAAAGTACTGTGACTATGTGTGCCAGTCCACCAAGCTGTGGATGGGTACGTCGCAAGGATGGGAAAGCCGCAATAACTCGGTGCGCCTGCAACAGTTGTATGATCCCCGGGGAGCTGAGATTGATAACACGATGTTCAGTTGAGATTGACATCCAGTGATCGAGGGGAAAAAATATCAGCGCCTTGTGCATGCACTTGTTGCGTGGATATGTGCGCTATATGAATATCCTATGACAATGTCATTGATACGACAGAGTTACTTCCGTTTGCTGTTTCCCTAACCTAATTTGCAAGTTCGCTTTCTAACGACTGAACAGATTCAGCTAAACCAATCACGCTTAGTCATACTACGCTCCAGCAATACTTGTCTAATGGCGGTAAACTAAAATGTTACGAACATTTCTCGGCTTGCCGCAGGACTGGTCACTTTTTTGGACAGCCAGTCTTTGCACAAATAAGATTTAAAACTATTTATACACTGAGAATACATATAATTTCAGACTTGAACAAGTTACAAGTTTAAAAGTTTTTACAAATATTCAAAAGAATCAAAGGAAGGAGGTAACTGGGATTAGAAATATGGTTGTTTCACTGAACATGAAAAACGTTATGTTTTCAGCGTGTATCTATGGCAGTTATGGAACAAACTGCAATCAGAAGTGTTCAGACAGGAATTGCAAGGGCGACAACTCTAGCTGTGACAGATCCACGGGGGAGTGTGTTGGCGGCTGCAAGGCAGGGTGGAATGGAATAGACTGCACACAGAGTAAGAACCCGAGTTTAATAACATTATTTCCAATACATTTAACCTTATCGATCTGGCTGGTGTGTTCTTCAAGTACCTCAAGTGAGTGAGGGAATATGGTTTTACGTCGCTTTTAGCAATATTCCAGCAATACTACGACGGGGGACAACAGAAACGGGCTTCACACATTGTACCCATGTGGGGAATCGAATCCGGGTCTTCGGTGAGACGAGCGATCACTTTAACCACTCGGCTGCCCCACCGCCCCTCAAGTATCTCAAACGCGACAAGCACCCAACCACAGATGAAGTGTTTATAATCAGAGTTCACATGTTCCCTCTCTGCTATTGTGTTAATCAAATCGTTTCAGAGTGCGTAGTTACCTACGGAGACAACTGTGCTCGCCTATGCTCTGCCAGAAACTGCAGTGGAACGTCGTCATCCAGCTGTGATCACGTGACGGGGAAGTGTGACGGAGGCTGCAAGCCCGGCTGGAAGGACAATGACTGTACAACAGGTCAGATTCGATCTTTGGTCTTGGATATAATCCTTTCTAGTCTACCCACTTTATCACACTGTTAATGCAAATTGAAAAAAAGCTAAAGGAGATATCAGTATAAGCGGGACTCAACTGCGAGTGTGTGAGTTTACGCAGCCCTCAGCAATATATTCCAGCAATATGGCAGCGGTCTGTAAATAATCGAGTCTGTGCCAGACAATCCAGCATGAGCATACGATGACATGTGTCAACCAAGTCACCACCCGATCACGTTAGTCGCCTCTTACGACAAGCATGGGTCGCTGAAGACCAATTCTAACCCGGATCTTCACGGGTCAACCCATCTGTGAGTATGTGAACAGTATTTCACCCAGATCAAGGCTAATGCAAGTTAGGAATTGATAACACATAAAGGGTCTAAAACGTGTCGACACATAACAGTAAAGGAACGTCATATGTATATAGGTAGACATACATACTGGCAGGTTACAATGTTGTTGGGCCCATTTGCAAGATGCTCGTGGAATAAGCATGTAAAAAAAGACCCCTCCACCCCACCTCCCACCCCACCCAGACACACACACCCACACAACCAAAAAACGAAAAACGTGTCGACACATAACAGTAAAGGAACGTCACATGTATATAGGTAGACATACATACTGGCAGGTTACAATGTTGGGCCCATTTGCAAGATGCCCGTGGAATAAGTATGTAAAAAAAAGACACCTCCACCCCAACCCACCCAACCCACCCAGACACACAAACCCACACAACCAAAAAACGAAAAAGACCTAACCTAACCTAACCTATTACCAAGGCAAATGTAGGCTACGTTCTCCAGCTCCAACAACACCACGAGCATATATTTACACGAGTCACTGTCTCGTAGGTATGTTAGATGCAGTTCTCAGTGAGGTGAGCATATACTTCCCTGTCCTCCACAAACAAGTCCAAAGGCAAACCAAGTAAATCGTGTATAGTTACATGGAAGGCTAAAGTCAGTTTCTTTACATGCAGTGTGCACCCAGGGGTTAGAGTACGGAGCTGACTGTGTGGGTAACTGCAGTGCCCGGATGTGTGAAGGAGGGTCGGGCATCTGTCCCAAAGATACAGGACGGTGTGATTCTAGCTGTGAGTCGGGGTGGCAGGGTGAAGACTGTTCACAGGGTAAGAGTCAACAACAATTTGTATCAAACCTGCTACGGGTTCTTAATGAAAGCATCGAAACTATGTTTGGTTTCAAAAATATATTTCAGATTGTAACAATAATAATATTCAGACTAAACGTAGTTATAGTGTGTTAAACACAAATAAACGTTTCCTTACATACGGCTTCTGTCACGTCAGACACGGCTACTTGGAGCAATGTGAAGATCTAACATTGGGGGAATCACGAAACATGAAGGATGCTTAAAAAGTGGATGATTGCTTTTTACTGCTTGATCAGTGTGTTTAAGTCCACTGAAAATAAAAACGGGGTTACTTATAAATATCCAGTGGTCACCGTTTACCGTACCTTGACGGCATAGGACGTGTTTAATAATATTTACTACTTTCTCTTACCCATTCTCCATAATTTACATAATTTATGTTTAAATATTCCCAACTGCAAGCTAACACAACATTTAATCACTTGCTATCCTCGACACAAATTCCTACATTCAGAGTACATTTTGATAGGGCGGTACATGTATGATGTGCTAAATGAATATCATAGAACATATTACAATAACAATATCCGCATCTTTTGTGTTACAAATGTAATGTGTAGATGTCTGTTCACCAACGTTCCAGTCTGTAGTCTTGGTTCATTCGGTGTCAACTGTACTGGAGAATGTGGAGAATGTCGTGACGCCAGCGACTGTCACCATGTCAACGGAAGCTGCCTCACGGGATGCAGCGATGGGTGGACTCACCAGACATGTACACAGAGTAAAATACTCAATACTTCTTCAGTCCTTCAATCACACTCTGCCTGACTGACTGAGTTTAGTTTTACGCCGCTTTTAGCAATAGCTTTTAGCAATAGTCCAGCAATATCACGGCGGGGGACAACAGAAACGGGCTTCACACATTGTGCCCATGTGGGGAATCGAATCCGGGTCTTCGGCGTGACGAGCCAACGCTTTAACCACTAGGCTACCCCACCGGCTACTTTGAACCACATGACCCACCATGGCATTTATTACATCGTGTAATAAGATGTATATAGTATTACGACATTCGTGAGGTCGCTTTTGCCTCGGGTACAGCTATGCCTTTCGTAAGTGAGTGTAAGAAAAGGTCTGTAGTGCATCTGAATTTTTTCATAGACAGACCTAGCTTGTCATTTAATCATCATTTGTCACGTACCATCACGTACTATGACATGGCTACATTCTAATGGCGGACATTTTCCCCGTGCATGGCAACGGTCAATATTCATGTATATTACAAGCATCAATATTATTTCCCCAAATAACTATGAAACTGTAAAGTCAAAATTACGTTACAGTCATCGAATAACCTCGAAATACTTGCAAACATGTTCAACTAATTAGAGTTGATATTCAGTTACTGCCAGCTGAACATAGCACATACTCTATAATTTAGCATATCCTTCAGTAACACTTGATGTGATCACAGAGTTATATAAACCTGTCACCACTATTTTCCTTTCAAATGGAAATATTCGATTGACAATATGGTTAACGTAGGACACGTGTCATCCGACGCACACGAAAAATATTTTATCTGCATTCTGATAACCAGCAGCGCAATGAAGTAGTGAATAAACAAGGAATGCCTTGTTCTTCTAAGACAATGGTGTTATTAATTAATCTTTAATGTCTGCAACTGTGAACAAATGTGTTATATAATGCTTAAGATAGATGTTCTTGCTTCTCTTCTAGAGCTGGTTGAAACACCATCGTCCAATATAGGAGTTATAGCAGGCTCTGTAGGTTCCAGCTTTCTTGTAGCAGCCATTGTTGTTACCGTCGTTGTCTTACTCAGGTACGAAGGACATCTTGATATAGTATATGAATTGTGACAAGTAATAATGCTTTCACTTGACTATTTATACTAGCGAAACATCGTATTTTGGTCTTTGTCACAGTTCACACGACACTTTAGAATTGATCTTCAGTAATGCGTGCTTGTCATAAGAGGCGACTAACGGGATCGGGTGGTCAGGCTCGCTGACTTGTTTGACACATGACATCGTATCCCAATTGCGCAGATCGATGCTCATGCTGATGATCACTGGATTGTCTGGTCCAGACTCGATTATTTACAGACCGCCGGCATGTAGCTGAAATATTGAATACCAATCACTCACTCACTGCAAATGAAAGTGTGCACGAGTGTGCATGGATACGACTTTCCTAGTCATACATTATTAATTTGAATTATAAGGGGTTATGTGCCTCGTAGGTACCTATAGATTGTATGCATAATCAAACAAAGTGTGATTTAGTGATTAATATTTTGAAGCCGCACCAATACCAAGCAATATATCTGCCTCATATCAAACATCACATGGATTTTTAGACAATAAGGGAACGGTTAGCCTTTCTAGTTCTACAATGAGGCCATTACATGTGTGGGTTATACAATACCATGTTTGTTCTCTATGTACACAATAAATTGTACTAATGCATTTCGTTCTTATACGAAGACGGCGGAGACATCCACACTCAACGAAAACAGATAAACATGCAGATATATCCCAAGAGCAGACAGGTCCGTATAAAGGAATAACAGAGAATCACATTGAACTGTCGTGGATATGAGTAATGCTTTCTGCATCCTCTGTAAGAACCGTTAGGATTATGTGGGTTATTCATCATTGCTTAAACCAGATCTGGTATACTTTATGACTTATTTGTTATATTATGATGCAACGTTTCGGTATACATTCTCTTTGTACAATGCCATAGAATTTAAACCGAAATGTCAAATCATAACATTATAAAGAAGTTGTCATCTATAAAGCATCTTCCGTTTCTTATCAGTTGAAAACTAAACTGCAGTTCCAAAGATCATATGTCTTAGTACATGGAGAAGTTGCAGTCAACACTACCAGCACATTCCCTTCAGTCATATGTTATATATTGTATATATGTATATAATTGTGTCGATTGACTTCCAATCAATGAGTTTAATGATCCACTTCAAATGTTAAATATGTTATATTAGAATAATTGTGTCCACTGATTTCCATTCGATGCGTTCAATAATTCGCTGCATGTTATTTGAGCAACAGAAGACACTCTATACATGGTGGAAAACCCTGTGTATGACAGTACTATGGATGTGGACGAGAAACACGATCTTGAGTATGCCAATGCTGTAGACGTGGACGAGAACCATGAACCTGTGTATGCGAGTGCTGTGGATGTAGACGAAAACCAAGACACTGTATGCGCCAGTGCTGTAGATGTGGGCGAGAAGCATGACGTCGTATGCACCAGTGCTGTAGATGTGGAGGAGGCGAACGAGGACGACGCGGAGAGGGATGATGTGAAGGAGGACCACAGTGGCACGTACTACAACATAACAAGTGCTCCTGCAGTAACACTGGTGTCCATAGAGCAGCTGGGGGATCGGATCAAGGAGCTGCAGGTGCCCGTCGGGGGATTCCAAGCAGAGTACCAGGTACATGGTTGATTGGTTGGTTGTTTAACGCAGCACTCAGAAATATTCCAGCAATATGGCAACGGTATGTATGGACCAGGCAATCCAGTGATTTACAGCATTATCATTGATCTACGCAACTGGGATACAATGACATGTGACAACCAAGTCAGCGAGCCTGACCACCCGACCCCGTTAGTCGCCTCCTACGACAAGCATGGGGTGCTGAAGACAAACCAGGTATATGGATCGTATGAGATAATGGCGTATGAATTCCTCCAGTGAAAACATACGCCGTGACCGTCATGATGATACAATTCTTTGACACGTAATTTACAAATAATATTTTTAATATTTTTTGTGATTTAAAACATGTAGCTTATAATGAAGCAATTTTGGCCATAAAGCTACGATACATTTTCTCATTCATGGTGGTTTAATGAATGTTATTCATTTTAACTATACATTAGGACTTCATATTTCACTCATTGTACCCTCCTCCTGTAACCTGATACGAATTGATTTCCAGAAACTACCCACTACTTTCACCCGTTCCTACAACGACTCTCAGCTAGATGTCAACAAGTGGAAAAACAGATTCCTTAATTATTACCCATGTAGGTATTACTGTATTTTCTAAACAGCTCATTTTAGACAGTGGTAATATAGAACAACAGAAATGTGTAAAATCAGTTGGTTTGATTGACTGAGAAACATAGATAGTTGCAATAATCTAGATGTGACGTATGTAATATTTTCGCTATTGTCTCCTCATCAGTACACAAGACGTCTCTGTTTATGGCCATGTTTCCTATATTCCAGATGATGACACCCGGGTCAGGTTGCAAACACTGCCAGGCAAGCCTGGTTCTGACTACATAAATGCAAGCTACATTGACGTTAGTAGGATTTAACATTAACTGATGGAATTGTTATACTGTTTACCTTTAATGACATTGGGCACCGTTAAATGCTATGCGATGTAGTGTAGTGTGTATTGTACCGGAACTTCTCCCCCTTCTGGTTTCAGGGCTACTCCCAACCTAAAGCCTACATTGCAGCGCAAGGTACCGTCACTTCTCTGTATTGTATCTATGAAACTCTGTCTGGTCGGTGACAATGATATTGTAGGAGGAAATCAGTCCACGAACTCAGTGAAAAATGATCCTGTACAATTGAGGTTCTATAAGTCCTGAATCGTTTGTTGTCCTCCAGGAGGCAATTGCCATCTATATATGTACATCCTTTGCACAGGGTACAGATCTATATTTTTATCATTGGTAGTTAAATTAGCAGCTCAGATTGTTAATGGCGGTATCCTCAAGGGAGGTTGAAGTACCGTAAAGTTATTGTCCTCCTGAGAGGAGATGTCTAAAATAGGTTTCTACTTTTAAAGATGCATGCCAGCTAGTTTCAACTCTTTTTTGTGATACTGTAGTTATTTTACAGTCCGTCCATGACTGGATATTTAACTACTTGCATTTATTGTGTATGTACAGTATTTCTCGTCACTATATGGCCGAAATATTGACGAGGTGACGTTAAATGTTAACTCACTCACTCACATCTGCACAGGTCCTACTGAACAGACGCTGACTGACTTCTGGAGGTTGATCTGGGAAAAGAACTGTACAAGAATCATCATGCTGACTAACCTCATGGAGATGGGAAAGGTCAGTATGTACCTATTTCACTGAGTACTCTTATAAGAGTAAACATAGCCTTTTTATTGTCCATGATAAGTTTGAAGTAAATAAAACAGTAAACAGTGTTCAACAATTCAAGACAATTTTTGACCATTTTGAAATAGACGCAAGGCGGAATTACTTTAATATCACTGATTCTCGGACTGATATTTTGAGTTTGCGGACATAATTTAGGTCCACCTGTGTAACAGTACTAAGAAGTAAAGGACATACTGTAACATGCCAATTCATGTGTCAGGTGAAGTGTGTAACATACTGGTCGGACAAAAGAGATTTGACTGTGGGGAATTTCCACATCGTTGTAACTAACTCAAGCCAGCGAGCACATTGGGTCGTGAGAGAACTACAAGTCACAGATATGAAGGTAAATATACTCTCCAAAAAAGAAACGCATATAGGAATTTCAACTGTATTTTTATGTTTATTTTGAAACATCTTGTAGGCCAGGAATTGCACACTGGGAATGCAGACTTATCCGTCTTTGGCACCAACTCGAGGAAAGTCAGTTTGAGTGTCACATGGAGACGTGTGGTGGCGCTGAAGTCAATACCTCGTGTGACCACCGTGGGCATCCAGAACTGCACGGCATCGCCTCGGCATCGAACGAATAAGTCTCAGAATCTCGTGTTGCCCAATCGCAGCCCACTCTGCCTGTAGTGCCTTTGCGAGTATCTGAAGTGTCTGGGGCTGAGGGTTACGGCGTCGCACCCGTCTGTCCAGGGGGATCCCACAGATGTTCGATCGGGTTTTAAAAAAGTCCGGTGATCTTGAGGGCCAGGGGAGCACATTGATGTTGTGGTTCTGGAGGAAGTATCTAGTGTGACGTGCTGTGAGGGGCCTGGCATTGTCCTGTTGAAACAACTCCCTCTGGAGATCAATGATTGGAAGGAGGTGTGGGCGTAGGATTACGTCACAGTACCGTTGAGCTGTCAGGTTTCCCTGGATCATCATCAAATCACGTCTCCTACGGCAGGTGATCTCCCCCCCTCCCCCCCTCCCCCCACATCATAACACTGTCCCGGCCGAATCTGTCCACCTGGGGAACGCAAGCGTCGGCGAAACGTTAAAGTCGACGTCTGTACACCCGCATTCTTCCATCGCGTCATTCCAATAGAAATCGTGATTCATCACTGAACCAGATTCTACGCCAATTCGGTAGGTTCCAGGCCTGAACGTTGGTGCACCATTGAACTCGATGTCGATGATGTTGTTGTCGAAGCACAGGGCCAAAATAAGGTCTTCTGGCACGTACACCAGCCTCTCTCAACCTGTTCCTGATGGTCTGTGCAGAAAGCCTCCTCAATCCGGGTATTTGTCGAGCGGTACTGGTCGCCGTAGCTGTTCGATGACGCAGGTGATGTACCCGGATGTAGCATTCTGCCGGCGATATCTCTCCCAGAGCAGTGAAATGGTGCTTTGGTGAACATTCATGCATCGGGCAACTGCACGTTGAGACTGGCCAGCGTCAAACAAACCAATGGCGATATGACGGTTGGTTTCACTTAGACGTGGCATTTTGCGTTCGTCAACAATATTCCAAATACAGTGAATAATCGACAGACAGCGATCAACCTTATATACCCATCATTGAGACTATCTGATCCCCAACTTTCACGTGCATTGCATGTGAATTGTGTATTCTATGACACTACACGCCGAAATTTAAAATCATGCTGTTAAATACGGATATTTTAGGGATGGTGCGTTTTGTTGTGATGTTTCAAAACATAAACACCATAGGACTCATAAACAGAGCAAAACCTTTTGTAAAATGAATCACGTTTTAATTCATTGCTACATGACATTGCTATTTTCACGATGCGTTTCTTTTTTGGGAGAGTATATATATAAATCGGGGTCTCCTTTCACAAAGCACTATGGTCATCTTAAGTCAGTAAAGTAGCCTAAGTGCACTGTTAACTAATGGGAGTTAAGGTTAACCTTATTAAAGGTTGCTTGGTGAAAGGAACCCCTGGTTGGAAATATGGTCAGTGCAAAAGGATCAGGTCAGCACATTAGCCTCTTTTCACCTACATTTCCCCATCTGAGATTGAGACTATCATTGATGTCCCATACGAACATCATCATATTCTTCGATACGTCTGCATTGCCAGACAAGTCGTCTCTTTGTGAAGGGCTTGTGAAGAAGGTTCCATTGACAACGAATCACCCGGAGATGCTGACACTGCAGCAACTACGCCAAGCTCTCATTCAACCTATGCTGACGTTTAAAATCAGTTTTAACTCGCCACTGTTAAATACGGATATCAAAGACGAGAAGGGGATGGTGCGCATTTTTGTTGTGATGCATTTCCTGGGCACTGAGATGGAAAAGGCTATAGAGGTTCACACGCAGCCATATGCTGGACTCATTGCCAAGGAAGAGACCCGTGACAGTTGTGGATGACACAGACTTTGCTCATCTTGCTTCTTCTGCTCCTTTTGCCAATACATCATGGAAATGCAAACAATCACGTTTCGTACCATGCAAGAAGGTCTTAGATTGATCTATCTCAACATTGCTTCTTCCTACACGCTATTGGATGCGACTCAAGGCCATTTTCACGTAAATTTCACCAGCTTAGAGAGCATGGTTTCTTTGGGAGAGTATATATAATAAATCAAGGGTATATCTCTCCTTTCACAAAGCACCTATGGTCATCTTAAGTCCAACCAGTAAGTGTGGACAGTAGCCCTAAGTGCACTGTTAACTAATGGGAGTTAAGGTTAACCTGCCTCACGTATTAAATGGTTGCAAGTTATGGACACAAGGTGACACAAAGTCATCCTCAATATAAATTTTGTGTGAACCCTGAAGCTATAGCCTACACTACTGAAATGATGTGTTCAGCATTATGCGAAGCAATACTATTTAGAATTAATGGCTACTATCATAATGCAGTTCTTTTTTAACAACTTAATCCTCACGTAAATTTTTGCATGCTCGAAGACCAGCACTTGTCGGTGCTTCAACCAATTCCATTTTACAACTTGGCCGGATCATGGGACACCCGAGGAGACCGCCTTGACTGAGTTTCTGTGGCTGGTAAGGAAAGCGCCCATCACAAAAGATGACTCTCTACTGGTGCACTGCAGGTAGGGAAATTAAAGAATTGCACCCTGAATTGTTACACTTATAAAGAACTATCATCTATTTTGGTAACCCACATCAAAAGTGTAACAGCATGTACAGACAAAAAATCGTTCATTTCTTGGTGCGTAATATTGGCAGCATTTGTTCATTTATTCGTTTTTCTCATGAATAGTGTTTAATTCTCTTGTTCAGACACGTAGATGCCATAAACATGAACGATAATAATTTTAATCCCAGTGCAGGGATCGGCCGAACAGGAACCTACATCGCTGTGGACTACCTATTGGACCAGGCTCTGGCTGAAGATAAGGTCGATGTGTTTGGTTGTGTCTCAAAGATGAGAGACCAGAGGAAGGGCATGATACAGACCAAGGTAAGAGTTTCATCTCAATGTGAATGTTCGTTTTTGCGCCGATGTTCTATATATAGTATGACCAGAAATTATTGAGAATTTTAGGAATATGTTTAATTGGATTTCTAGTATAAACAACCTTGACCAATTATCAAGCTTGGTTTCATTCAAGAGAGACAACTCCGTTCATCCTTTTTCATTAGTTTGTGAAGAGTTATTCCCCTTTGTTTACTTGCTAGCAGACGACATTTTCAGTGATCCTCAGTATGGATGATTTAGAGAAGAGAAAGTTGATTTTAGAGTATTATAACAAGGACATCAGATCGGCTAAAGTGATTTCAAGTAGAACAGGCATCCCTTTGTCCACTGTTTATCGTGTTTTGAAAAATATTGCAAATGGATATGGCATTGAGCACCAGGGAGGCGCAGGTAGGCCCAGAAAATTGACTGTCGGTGACAGGAGGCGGCTTGGTATTCTTGTTTCTAAAATCAAACGAAGGAGTTTAGAAAACTTAAGGCTGGATATGATTGATAGAGGAACTGTGGCTGTTTGTAAGGAGAAAATTAGAACTGAGCTGCATGCCATGGGTTGGCAGAAAAGTCGAGGAATTCCATCACCGATCATGAAACCTGAACAAAAGGAGCGAAGGTTGAACTGGTGCTTACAACATAGAAATTTTAACTGGGAAGATGTTTGGGGACTTATGAAGGAAAGTGGCAATAAGAAAAATCTGACACATATTGCTGAAATGAAAGAAGAGGTGGTCCGATATTGGGACAGCATGGACCCACGACTTTCTAACTTCTTTGATCAGTAGTATGCCCCGCGGCATTGAAGCCTGCATTGCTGCCCATGGTGACTTGACAAAATACTAACTGTTCACCTGTCGTTGAATCTGGAGTTATGTTCTGCGAATATTCACATGTAATACGTGAGTTACAATCTTTAAATTCTCAATAATTTCTGGTTGTACTGTAAGAATACATATGAAGCAAACAGTCCACAGAAGAACTGTATGTCTCACATTTGCATCAGCTCACGAATGTCAACGGTCGTTTCATTATTACTTCAGGACCAGTACAAATGTGTTTACATGACCTTGCAAGAGGCTCTGGAGTTTGGAAACACAACCATGGATATGCAGGAGTTCAATCAAAATCGAAGTGAGAACAGAACCTTCAAGATGGGACGCATAGAACCCACACAGTTAATACAGGTAGAGGCAAAACATTGAAATAATATACTACGGACAATTCCCCTGAAGTATTATGATAATTATATAATTCTTTGTTTCCTGTACTGTAAAAAACGTATACCTTTCTCAATATCTTTTAGATCCTGAATGCTAAAGGAGAGTTCTCAAGAAAAGGTAAGCAAATGAAGCGTTCCCTTGTAAATATACTGAGTCAAAAAAAAGAAACTTCACAAAATGTAATTTGAAAAATAATGAATAATTGTTCTATGATGATACATCTATGTATCCGAAATGGGATCCCTATCTTTCGACTCCAGAAAAACGTTAGCAAAACCCACTCAAATCCATCCATTCGTCGTGCAAATGACGTTAGTGCCAAATCAGGTTTTGCACGTGCAGTCGATCACGTGATCTTCGCATCGAAGTTTTCTTCATATGCACGTGTTTGCATTGGCCTCAAGAATTGAAAAAACACTTTTAAACCACAGTTCTAACGGTACTTGAAATGCCACAATTGTCAAATGTGCTACGTGAACGTGCCGTTGGCATGTTGCAAGCGGGAGGATCAGTTATTGACGTCGCAAGAGCAATGGGATGCAGCCGTCGTAGTGTGTATGACTTGCGAGGTCGTCTACAACAAACTGGCACCACTTCTGATCGCCCAAGGTCGGGTCGTCCACGTGTGACGTCACGAGCAGAAGACCGTCAAATCGTCCTACGTCACCTACGTGACAGATTTCTGCCGGCTACACGAACCAGGGCTGAGATGTTTAGAGGTCGACTGTCCTCACAGACCATTCGAAATCGGTTGCGGGCTGCCAATCTCCATTCTCGACGTCCATATCGTGGGCCAATATTGACGCCGTTTCATCAACGTCAACGTCTGCTGTGGGCCCAACGTCACCTCCGATGGACCCAGAGAGACTGGAATCGAATCGTCTTTAGCGATGAATCCAGGTTTACCCTCAGATGCGCGGACGGCAGGCATAGAGTCTGGAGACGACGTCGTGAACGGTATGCCCAATGTTGTGTATAGGAAGTAAAAAGATTCGGGGGCGGAAGTTGCATGGTGTGGGGTGCTTTCTGTGGGAACAACCGTTCCCGACTTCTGGTCATCCGTGGAAACCTCACAGCTGCTGCTTACCGCGACCAGGTGCTCACCCCTGAACTCGTTCCTTTCATGGCGGCTCATGGCCCAGGTCTACAGTTCCAGCATGATAATGCTCGGCCGCATACCGCGATGTTGACACGAAATTTCCTTCAAAACGCTGGAATCAACGTCATGGACTGGCCATCGAGGTCCCCAATAGAGCACGTTTGGGATGCACTTGGGAGAAGGCTTCGTGGTCTTAGGAACCAACCTCAGAATTTGCAGGAACTTGGCGCTGCCTTGCAAGAGCAATGGCGCAGAATCCCCAACCACGTGTTCACAAGCATCAGGCAGTCGATGAGGAGACGGTGTTTGGCAGTGGTGAATGCGCGGGGCGGCCATACACGATATTGAACTGTGAAATTTCGCATTTTTATTCTTGTGACTTGACATTCTGTATACCCATGTTTTGGAACGGCGGTGTAGCCTAATGGAACTGATTATGGCACTGTCAGTGTATTGAGTACATCACAGATCTCAGCAATGAAATAATAACAATTTAACCATCTTACCATCTCTTGTTCTTTTATAGTGCCCTGAAGAAAGAATGTGAAGTTTCTTTTTTGACTCAGTATACATACCACTTGGTTTAACAGTTCCATTCCGTTCCATACCATCGATGCAGAAAACCTGACGTCTATAGCTGTTGTTTCAGAAGCCAAGGCCAAGGGGGATGTATACGTCAATGGGCACTCGCACATTCTGGGTGCACGGTCACAGGTGAGTGTCTTATAGTCAGCCACGTAATCGGTAATCAGACATCTCCGGTCAGGAACATTGACATCAGTGTTCGGATGGGTATGTCACGACTGTATTCACTCCAACAACGTCCATGACACTTGGTCTGTGCCACTACATTCTGAATGAGCAATATTATTATTATTGTATTGTTATATAATAATATATTCATATAGCGCCGAGTTCCAGCTAGGCTGCTCACAGGCGATTTGTTTTTCCCTCGATCGTAGGATGTCAGTCTCAACCGCACTTCGCATTATCAATCTCAACTCCCTGGAACAGCATACAACTCTTGCTGCCACTAGGCGCACCGAGTTAATGTGGCTTTCCCATCCGTAGGAGGTACCCATTCACATATGGGTGGATTGGGACACACAGTCAGAGTTCTTTGTCCAAGTTTACTGCACATTGCTGTATCCGCAGCTAGGTGTTTGCACGTATTCATGTGGCCACCATCTGGTCATATACCAACGGAACGGAATATATGATACACACGGGGATGCTTTGCAGTTGTGGAAAGTACATCGTGGTATCTTTGCAATCTCTCACACATACATGAGCTGAGCCGGTATTACGACTGCCCTGGACAACCGTGACCCTTGACTGCAGTGGTGTAACTTAAACATATAGCTAACGTAAACCGTTGTTTATTGGTCGAAAGGGGCAGTGGGGAAACCTCGTGGTTGAAGCGTTCGCTTGTCACGCCGAAGGCCCTGGTTCGATTCCCCACATGGGTACAGTGTGTGAAGCCTCGCTGGTGTCCTCGCTGTGATATTGCTGGAATATTGCTAAAAGCGACACATACAGCTTTCATAGTCATAATGTGACTTTACATATCAATCCTCCCTCTCTCTAACCATGTTGATAATGATGGATACCATGTAATGTATACAAAGTATTCTTCCTTCAGTCTCACCTGTCCATGAAAGGCTATCTGCTGACTGAAGCTCCCTCCGTCAACACGGCGTCTCTGTTCTGGAAGCTCATACAACAACAGGAGTCTTCTACTGTCATTGTCCTGCCAGACTCGCACCAGGTGAGGGGCTGTCTTTCACTGACAACTGTTTCACTCAGGCGAGCACACTCGGTGAGGTGTTCCATTTGAACCGATAACTATACTTTCAGAATCTGTCCAGCTATGTGCCATCTCCAGGAGACAGCCTGAACCTGAGTCCAGTCAGTTTGAGATGTTCAACAGAGAACACAATCAACCCCGACATCGTGCTCAGGAACGTTAACGTACAGATTGACGTAAGCTTTCATTTTGCTATTCATATGTTAAAATTTGTCTCCAGTATCTTTGCTCATTTATGGAGGCACAGACAAAACACAAACAATATTGAAATCTATTCGTGTAAATAAATACGTTAACAATAGAAACTTCAAAAAACTCTTATTTAATCATTATTTAACCGTAGACAACATCATGAAATTACTGTTCACCGAATACAACACAAATCTCACCTTAACCACCTTAACGTCATCAACCAATCAAGAAATAGCAGTCCGTTAGCTCGGATGGCCTATAAATTCCGGTTTATGGACATATACACAAAACATATAATTGCTTAGTTACCGAATGAAATGTAGCGAAATCACGGTGAAGAACTTACATTTATAATGAATGGATACACAAGATATCTACTATAGTTACCCATTTTTAGAAAACATTTGTTGTTCGCCAAGGGTTTCCTCTGTCGACAAAGAATCCAGTATATCATACAATATAGTTTTCGTTTCTAAGTAAAGTACCCGTGAAGATCCCGTTAGAATTGGTCTTCAGCAACCCATGCTTGTTGTAAGAGGCGGGATTGGGTGGTCAGGCACGCTGACTTGGTAGACACATTTCATCGTATCCCAATTCCGTATAACGATGCTAATGTTGTTGATTACTGGATTCCCCAGTAAATACTCGACTGTAAGACCACCGTCATATAGCTGGAATATTACTGGTGTTAAACAACAAACCACCTCGACAAATGAGTAAAACAAAATGTAATTCTTACAATTCACCGTTGAACAGGACCGTCCGCCATCCCCAGTACATGTGTACATAATGAACCAGTTTCCAGAAGACTCCCACTCCATGCTGTTGGAACTCCTAGAACAAGTAGACCTTCATACGACTGGGGATGAATCCCAACCAGTAACTGTCATCTACAGGTACACTTAAGATCTTTGTAACACACGAGATTTCAGCTCTAAACTATTGTGTACCACACCGTGATCCTCCACAATTCCTTTTGAGCCTTAGATATAGCATGTCAAAGGATGACAGTAATTACTTGCGGTTGTTCCATGTTATAATTGTTAGTAAAATTTGTTGAGATGACAAAGTTGTACACGCCAGCTTTCCTCACAAGAGAAGCAGGATGAAGATCCTGGAGTTGAAGCCGACCAATTTAGAAACTGTTTGATACTGATGTCAGGTTGCGTAAAGTATTTAAAATACATATTTTATGTTGAAGTGATTCTGACAGAAAGAGAGGTGCAATGTTGTGCATCCTGAGCAATATTGTTCAAGGCCTGAAGTATGACAAAACAGTTGAGATCTACAACAACATGAAGGCTATGTCGCACTGCCTGGATCAAGATATCACACAGGTATGTTTACCATGAAGTGTCACTGTAGTTTGGTATGACATCCTAACAACCATATGAAAGTCCGACTTCAGAAATAGTTGTGCTTTTTAGATTTCTTGATTGAAGCAAGACTTACATTAGATTTTGAAAAGGAGAACTCCTGTTCGAAGTCAAGATAAATCAACTGTGTGTCCAATTCAAGGAATACTAACGTTGACTCCAAAACTGCAATGACCCGTGTAATGTTATGTAATCAGTCAATCATGACTTGGAATAAACCAATTTTAGGAGATAAACTGGTTGAGATCTAAATGTAAAGATTTACGACGCAAGTTCATGTACAAAGAAATCTGAATATCCTCATTTAAGATAGGTTTCATAAACAGGTAGAACGTTGTATTACCTAACAAGCGGCTATTACCGAACAAAATGCCGTTTCCATACATTTTTCTCAACTTTTTCTACGAGTACAGCCTTAGAGCATCCAGCAAAACTGTCGTTTAACATAAAAATATTAATCGAAGCAAATAGACGGAGAAGAAAGAGATAAAGAACAGGCAAGACATCTTACGCGTAATGCCTGTATGAGCGATTAGAGGGCTAAACCAACAAGTCTAGCTGTCTGAAACTGGGATACGTCTTGACGAAATGCCTTCATATCAATGTATCGTACAACAAAGCCCTACTTGCATATATTTACACAACTTTAGTGTAGCTAAGTGAAGGTAGTACAGGTTGTCATGTTCGACAAGAATTGTATCTAATTAAACAACAAGAATCGGCAACACTAAAACGCGTCCTGCTCTAAAAACACAATCATTATTTCATCAAAGAATACGTCACATTTCCACATAAGTCATACTCCAGAACTGATTAGTTAAAACAATACAGACAACAACTCCAACAGTATGGCTGCTTATATTTCCATCTCGAACATGCGGGTTGGGGCATGTCGATAAATGTTTGAATTGCCCCATCGGGACCTCGTGTAGACGTCAAAAGGACTTTGGTGAGAGTGGTTTCATTCCTATGTGCACACTACTGACCAACGGATACCTTGCATATTATGTATCAGACACGATAATGTTATTTAATACTCATATTACAGTTACATAAAGCAGTGTTAGCCGATACTCAAAGTGACACAAAAACGTCAAATGTTTGTTGGTCTTTCATAAACGTGTTTGCTTTGGCCTGTAAGAGTTTTAAACGACGGCAGCTAGGTTATTATCGTCCATGTTCAAATAAGTAATTCCATGAGAAGTTACTTTCTCAACACCAAAAGACAAGCTTCATCAAAATACATGCACGTCAGTAACATTGTCAACCCTGTAATTGGTACTGCATATTTGTACAATTTGTGCAGAACATTGGCGATATAATGGAAGTGAACACGCTTGTATCACCATCAATAAATGCTTCAGAGAATGACAATACTTTGTAAATGTATGTTTTTATCTTTCAAAACGTTGACAAATTTTGTCTTCAAATAAATGACGAGAAGTCGATCGAACTCTCATCTGGAATGTCATATAGTAAATCATGAAATATATTAGTAATTTATTCTTGCAAGAATAATCTTAAACCGTATCCTTTTTCAATAGAAATTTGTTATATTTCACAAAATACTGAGGAAGTACAAATAACGTTTGTTGCTTTCTACACAGGCTTTGTATTGCACTCGATTATCAGGGTTATCCTGAGCAAGTGAATGTTCTGTAAGTGAATATTCAAATAACATTTGTAACAAATGTTTTCCTGTTGACTTATTGCGGAGCCGTATTTGGTGTTAGTTACATCCTCGATAGAGTTTACGTCTGTGGACCTCAATTCGTTCTTTACAAATACTTCCTGATATGTTTAGACCGACGCATTACCGTTATACATGTGGCAAATGCTGGCCTATAGATGCAGTAACTCTTCCCTCGTTCCTTTTACTTAACCTTACATGATTGTAAATATCAGTCACAGGAACGAGGAAAGAGTGCGTTGATCTCCCGTTTGCTTCGACGGATCGTCATTTTTTTTCAATGACACTTCGGCCACAACGCAATTTGTATGGCACACCTTCCTCAATAATAAGGGCGATCGGACGAGTCAGCAAGAGTGGAAATACATGAACATTTGACAATGTGAAATATCAATCAGGAATATGATTCCCACTGAAGGGTTCTTTGTTAACCGTACTTCTTGCTTCATATAATGAAACAGCAGAATAAGGAGGGATATAATGTTGTCATTCAAAAGTCATGTAGCTGTGATCTCTTCCTGGTTATAAACTCACTATGGAAGCTGTTTATAATGCCCATTGTATCATCATTCATACTTAACCTTGGTATTTGAACTTATGTTTTGCACATATCATGTTTTCTAAGCACATTGCTTTGAAAACAGAATTATAATATTCAAGTTCGATGACATAATTACTGAACTGAAACAGGTATGTTATCTCTAGAAACATGTTTTATTCTTCAGGCGGACGTTGCTCTTTGTTATGACGTAGCTTGGGCGTTCATAGAGTCCCAAAGCATCTATGCAAACGTGTAACAAGCAACTATTCTCCTTCATGGACCAACAAACCCGAAGTCTCCAACTCGCAGACCTGATTTGATACCATCAGCACTCCCATTCGTAATGAATTTGTATTTGTTGTCGCGCATGTAATTTGTCCCAACATTTGCTCTTATTGTACTGTTATTTGTTAATGATTGCCATATGAATAAGTTGACCATCGATCCTTAATCCTGGATTCACCGATTTATATCAAAAATACATCTTAAAATGATCTTTGTTTCGTGCTTGTTTCATAAGTTAGAAGACTAGTTTTATTATTTTGTAAAGAATGTTATACTTTTGACATACAAGTAAATATATTGAGGTCACAGAAAAATCATATCTTCAGGCATAATTTCTTAAAATTCTGTGTTTGTATGTGTGTGATTGATGATATCACCTATAAAATATGTAATAAATTTCAAATTCTGTCATCTGTCTGGAACTGAGGCCTCACTCACACGTGATTCGTGACAATTACCACATTATAAGGTTCATTTTATATAATGTGAATTATATCACCGAATGATATTTTTTGTATTAAACTACAAGAACGACACACACATGTCTCCTTACAGCAGGACATTGATGGCATCCGATCGCTATTTTGTACCTGTACCTGTTCAAAAGTTTGAAATAAATCTATTGGAAGATAAATAATGTGCACAAACACACGTATCACCCGTTTTCAAATTGTGTTTATCTCACCACTTGTGCCAACGGTGTCGGTTGTTTGGGCATAGAATGCAAAATCAGACGTACACGCAATACAAATATCTGGACGCCATTGTAAAGACCCGCCTCAAAACTTCAGTAAACACACAGTTTACACTCCAGAAAAGAATTAAACATACAACTTTATGGCTGATAATTTTACCAAACATTTATGCAAAATGAAAATTCATATATAATTCATAACGTCAAACTAGAAAGACATATGTGTCGGTTACTCATGCATGGTTCAGCTTCTCGTTGCGTTGTTGCTGTTCTTATCATTTTTTCTGTTTCCAATAAAGATATTTGATACTATATTGTATTTCGTTTACATTTTTAATATATTCATAACATGTATTTTTCTGCATGATTTGATATCTGTTGTTAATCAGCCCGCGATGACTAGTACCGTGATGGGGATGTTATTGGGTAACATAACAGTACTGCAAAGAATTCATTATCATATGTCCGACGACAGATCTGTATGGTCGTGTAGGCCGGTTTTGTATGTATGGAATGCAAACATTAATGAAACGTTTCAAAAGACTGGGATCACTGTGAACGCTGATACTCATGAATATGAAACGACTAATGTAACAACTGTAGATAAATTAAATACGTGTCTCCTGACTTACTGTTCTGAAATGACATCGCGAAATGAAATGACTGAAATGATCAGAATTGGTCCTCTGAAGATTGATAGTAACAACCACATGGAACGGACGGTGTATGACATCCTCAATATTAAAATACTGATACGTGAAGATCAGCTTATATTTGATAATGAATGACTTAATCAATGAATTAATAATTACAACAACAAACGAATGCTTTACAACGGACCATTTATTAGACATGTACACGTTTCCATACAACACGCTTTATATAAGCCCAAAATACATCAGATGCTTTAAATACGCATTTTTAAAAATTCAATAATTCAAACATTCACAGCTGTTCCAGGTGCTAAGGAATCAAACTGCATGTACAACCAGCATAAGCAGCCAGTCAACTGATGGCAGAATAATCGTGTGAATCTCTATGTGTAGATCTAAATACAGATGAGGAGGTTCAAATGATCTCTCTTAAATCATGTTCAAATGGGTAAATTAGCTTAAGGCAATTGGCTATTTGACGCTTGTTGAAAGATACCAGTTCACATCAGAAGCTTCGGTTAATACACATATATACCAAATGCCCTCTACCAAAAGTCCGGATATATATAAAAGTAGCCTCATTCATAATATATAATAAGTGTTTCTAATCCATTGTACTTGGGCTCTGAGAAAAGTCGGCAGCTCAGTAAATGTCAACAGGTTTTAGCTGCTCAAGGGTGGTCATAAAAATGCAACATTCATTTACCACCATTTCTCTTTGGATCGGCATCGTTTAGTGAGAATGATTATAGATTTTTAAAACCCAATCTTATGAATGATACGAACCATTACTTGCTCGGCAACACCACATTTAGCAATATTCCTACTGCTGTCCATAATCAATCGAGTTTGAACCAGACATTTCAGTGCTTAGTGCCAAGTTTTCCCTTGTGCGTTATGGGTGCATCTGAACTAAATTCAGTCTTCTAAAATGTGTCACAGAGTCATACATTAGAATGACAGTATTATACGCATTAAGCAAAGCTATGAACATTTGTTATCGTTTCCTGTCAGTTAACTCAACTAAAAGAGTATTTTAAAATTATTGTCCCCCCTGAAAGGATACGTAAGTCCTGAAACATGCCAGACAAAGTTACCAGATTATTTAAACGTAGTATTTCTGGGATATTAATTCATGGCTAAATTCGACTACAATCGCCAGTGGCTGAAGTGATGGTGTAGATCCAGCTTGGGTCCATGTAGGTAGCACAGGCACTGTAAGTCCCCATGGTCCCTAGTATGGCGATCTACCTTCAGCTATGATTACACATTGCCATTTAGAAAGTGGTCAAATGTAACATATGTTAGATTTGGGATTACACTTTCTTAGCAAAGTACAAATTCTAGTACTTTTTGGGTTGAGTCCCATCCAGGATTCGAACCCACACCCTCAGGGTCAAGCACCTAATCGCCAGCACACAAAGTCAGCCGCCTGAATTGAAGTCGGGTAACTGGTAGTCTAGACTGTGGACTTTGTGTACCCCACTGATAAGTGTAAATAGGCACGGCTCCCACGGCCGAACGCTATGTATGTATTATGAATTTAGAACCAGTTTTAGTCACGATATGGCTGAAATATTGCCGATGTGACTTTAAATCTTAACTCACTTACTCACTAACTCAACAAAAACAACGTCTTTCTCTTCCCTTCTCTGAACGTCCGCTGCATCTGATGGAGTGCATTCCTCAACGACTCCATATTTAAACATCAGAAAAGCTGCAATATATGCAGCAGCAGACAGGAATTGTAGTCCAACGTCCATGGATTTCATACGATACCGTAGGCTTGCAAGATCATACAGTGCGCATGCGCCAACATCCCCACAAACTGTATGCCAAAGTGTACACGAACTGTCAATGACCTTCCCGTACACTACTGGCGCTGGAAGAAATCCTGGGAGAACGAACAATCAAATGAATAGCATATCTTTGTAACGAAGTCCATTTACGTTGTGTAAATTGGCAAACAAGCATCTGTAATTGATATAATACCTATTTCAATCTGCTTTTGTAATTTTGAGACTCGGGATAGTTCTAAATTAGATCACGACGAAATATTGCCGTATGATTTTATGTTTTTCACCAACAAAACATTTCAGGCCACTCACCTAAAAGCCCATTCAGGAATGTCGTCAAAGCAACAGCTATGGGTTTATCACGTGGTTGAACCGTTCTGAAAATGAATACAGAACATTAGAAGCTGTAAAACCAAATAACTTCTTGATCACATGGAGAGATTCATGCAAAGAAAGGTTCGGCTTATAAACATGGTAATAACCACGCTGATAACTACAACTGAAAATATAATAATACCACTTATATTTTAGAAAAAATGTTTTTCGGTGATATAGCCTCAACGTTATCGTACAACTCTTGTATTCGCATGAGCAAGCAATGATAAAGCGAAACAGCGGTAAATATTACAATACTATCAGCAATAATAGGAGATGACACGACAATCAAAGCTTTTAACATTTTCAACAATAATCCTTCGTGGATGGATAAGTTTCAGCTGGATCAGGAACCCATTCCATCTACCAGTTACAGTTCCTTATCAAGACAAACCCCATTATGTTCTCTAAGACACTTCAGGAGACTGTCCCGCCTAAAAAACACCAACAGGTCGTGGAAAGAACACCTACTTGATGAGGGTCATGTAGATGGGCACAATGGAGATAGTGCCCGCGACCCCTGACACCACATCAACGACGATGTAGGGGTATAGGTAGGGACAGTCTGTCTGGCATCTGCCCAGTGTGCCTTTCTCGCCAGGAATATGGCTACATTCCATGAATGTCTGAAAAATGGGCACCCTAGTAAATTACTGACTTTCAAACTTTTTCATGGGGAATGACACGAAACCCTGATAGCTGATTTGTTCAGTGAAGGATGTTTATGTAATGATATACTATCCCCAAAAAGAAACGCATAGGCCATAAATCTGTTGCGAAAATGTTGTATTTTCTAACATGGATAACTCGTCCACAAATAGACTTTTGTGCATGAATTTTTACATGAGTTTAGAAGAAGGCAATGTCGATACAACCAAGTGGATAATTTTAGATCACGGAGACGCTGAGCGTGATAGTGACGACGTTGCACGGTCCCGACGTCGGATCTCCTGGTTCTCAGTTCAATCTCTCTCAACCTGTTCCATATTTTGACGATTGTTTGAACATAATAGGTAATAATAGGTAATTAATAGATTTTTTAAAAACACAAAACACGTATGCGTTTCTTTTTTTGGATAGTATACTTTGTAATTACTGTGGTTATTCTGTGCAGTGATTTGGCATGATAACATGGCATGTCGGTATAATAATAGCATCCTGTAACGCAGAGATGAAGACACCTACTGTTCCATTTTGAGATTGGCATCCAGCCATACAAGGACTGATATATGTCACTCCGTCAGCTCCACACAGTGGCATGAATTCATCATCATCACACTTACAGGGGGAAGGGCTGGTAATATTATTCCTGCAAAATTAGACTGAATGTAGAAGCAGCGTTTTATTGCAGGCGTGGACACATGCCAAAACAGGGTTGACCTTGATTGTTAGAGGTTGACTGAATGATCGACGTTAATTGATGAATGTTTCACTGGATCTGCTAGTGTCTAGTCCTAATAATTTTGTACAGGTAGTCGAAGTCGTTGAAAGGTTTCCACTCCCAATCTAGAGTACACATTATTTTCTGAAGTTAATCACACCGACATGTCACATTGGAACTATATGCCTACAAGCGGCGAAAAAAACCTCAACGAGCCTCAAACTCACTCAAAAAGGTCGTCCACATTTTCATATTCCACAACGAACAGACAATCAAATATCACAAATGTGAAACATGCGATTAACAGACATGACGAAACACTATCGACACATAATTAATTGAATTATTTTATTACACGCGAAATTTTAAGGATTGATTGTGTATTGTTTTCTGTTCATTGAGGTACACTGTATGTGTTCACGTAGTGAAAATAGTACACGGCTTTGTAAAACATTTCCCATAATAGAAATCCGACACCTAAGCAAAGATACAATGATTCACTAACCTACTATCACCCAGCCCCTTGATGCTGGGATTTGGACATCCGAATAGCAACGTGAGAGTGTAGCAGGCTGCGGCAATGGATGTTACCATTACGATCAGTTTCACACAACCTCTGTTCGTCAGCTTCAGTTTGCTCGTAAGGATACCGCTGAGTAAGGTGCCAACAATCGCCCAAAGAAATCCTTCTATACCTACAATAGGGGTTTGACATACTTAGTTTTACATGCTATGTTTTGATACGTACATGAATGTTCGACAGTAGTCCACTGTTCTGATCGACGTTAAGTTGCGCTTACAGCTGTACGAAAATGAAGAATCCTTACCAACAATAAAGTTTGCTTTCGAAGCCTGTAGCCCGAACTGGTTCTCTAGGTATTTGGGGGCAAAAGCCATATTGCCTCCCACGAAGAAGAGTACGCTACAGTTTCCCAGCAGAACGCAAGCAACTACCGGGTTCCGCACCACTCGCACCACTGATCTGGGTAAATCTACAAAAAATGATTTTCTTTGGTGTTTATCAGACCACTGTCGTTATGTCAAGTCGTTCGATCCATCATGGCGACATCACCTTAAACCAGCACCGGGCTACTACCATTCACATTACATTCACATCGGCGTCAGTGTCATTGACATGTCTTTGAATACGACTAAGGAGGTTCGGAGTGACCCTGGGATCTCTAAAGCACATAATTTAGACACATTTCCGACATAGTCTACACCCAAGATGAGAAGTTTCGTGGCTGATTCAAATCTGTCCGTGAAACAACTAATCACACGAGAAATAAAGAATAAATTGTCATCAAGTAGATAATCATTTTTACAGATGTGTGATACCCAAAGCTACTGTATGCAGTGTAGAACAAAATTGAACAATTTTGTAAGGCGGCCTTATTCAAATAATGAGATCCATTAATATCGTAGGATTTGTCATGTACATGCTGATGTTTTCTGAGCTGATTTCCGATTTTGTAGCCTGAGCAACATTAGCAAAAGTACATTAGAATATACCTATAAAAGCATATTTGGATCACCATGATTGATCTAATATTGGGCACAGATTTGGACACATTCATGTTGTAAAGCTTCTTTGCTTTAACATAACATAATGTCGTGGGTTTCTTTTGAGGTTATGTTACACTACAAAAATGACTTGGTTTCCTGAAATCTGGAAACCATCCGTATACTGGGTAAATGGGGAATCCAGTTGGTTTCCATTCACTGAAACTGAGTAACTGAGTTTCCAACTAGATGCCATTTTGGATTCTTTGATTTTTGCATTTCAGTAAATAGTTTCTTGTTGGTTTCCATTCCTGAAATTTACAATTGAAGGTTTCATGAAATGGAAACCAACATACAACCAGAAAATGTAGTTTCATGTTGGTTTTCTGTGCACTGTTTTGAACTCAGTAACTTAAAATTTGCAAGTATCTGGCATGAAGTTGACCATCCTGGCATCCAGTTGGTATCCATTCATAATTATTCTAATGATACAATAGTGGTAATATACATTAGATTCCGCGGTTTTGTCGAAAATGCATTCTGTAGGAGTCACATTGACGGTTGGTTATTGAAATGTATAATGATGTCCACACGTTAAACAACCGCTGATGCATGAAGATTTGGGTTAGGTTTTCATCGGCCAATGCTTGTCGAAAGAGGCAACTAATAGGATCGGATGAAACAGACTCGCGGACTTGGTTGAGACATGTTATCATATCCCAGTTGCGTAGATCAATGATCATGCTGTTGATGGCGTCTCTGGTCCATACTGGATTATTTACAGACAGCCGCCATATAGCAGGAATATTGCTAAGTGCGGCGTTAAACAACAAACAAACAAACAAACAAACAAACAAACACAACTGTCCTTTGTAAACAGGTTTTATAAACTATTAATGTTTTGTGTATAATTATTGTGTAACTTTGTAGTCACGATATGTATGAAATATTGCAGACGTGATACCTTAACTCGCTCACTCACTCGAGGTTTTGTTACATTTACTGCTCAGAAAGATATAGCTTGTGAGTTAACTCGAACGTTTATCATAACTCTTATTAGTATCAAACCAATGTTGTATGTTCTTGTTAAAACATGTGAATACGTTATAACGGGCATGAGTTTCAAGTACCTGACAATTCTTCTGCAAGTGAGTGGCATTTTCTGTGTCTCATTCTTGGTTTCGTTATGTGCCTTGGAAAGCAGCCAAAGGGTACGGCAAGAAGGATGGCTGCACATCCAAAGGCCAGGAACCCGATCCACCATGCCCCGATCCACTGAGGGTGATGAGCATCAAACTGGGATTCTCGAAACCAAGCATAATAACAAACGGTAGAGAAAGAACAGCATAACTGTAATTGATGAACAGTGATAGTAAAAAGATTTCAGAGACTGATAGAATACTCACGACTAAGGTCAACGGGTATGGCGCTAAAAACGCCACCTGTCCAGAGTGCAACAGCTTGTCCGAAGAATGTCACTGTCAGGATGATGCCTACATGACCATAGACATAGTGATATATTCATGTGAATACAATACGAAGTATATTTCTTAGGAATTAAATCGAGGCTCAAAATAATATAAGGGTAATGCTATTTTTTAGGGCATTGTCATTTGCAGAAGCCCTAGGTCTTCCATTAAAGACCGAGAGGTTCTGCAAATGATAATGCACTCAAAAATAGCATTACCGTTATTTTTGCTACAATACATGGAACTTGTGTTGAAAAGAAAAAGGAAACAATGAAGGAATTTGACTGTAAGTTCTGACGGGGTTGACTGACCGAATGCAATTATGTCATCGAACAATTCAAGTGACGTCACAATAGAACGTGACGATATTCGACCTTGGCTTTTGACAAGACCATACCCTGCAACGTGTCAAACTATGTCAGACACAACGTCAGTTTTCAGTGTTTGGTTTTGGTCCAACATCAACGTTAATAGTGCAATTGTAATAGTGCAATTGCCATGATATTACTGGAATATTGCTAAAAGCGGCAGAAAATTACACTCGTCCACTCACTTATTTCAACAGTATTGAATAACATTATATAATAATTATCTCTCCTGTTTTCAAACATACCCGTCAGTAAGCTTGACTGCTGTTTGTCACGGGAGTTGTTGTCAAGATACGGTAAACCCAAGG